GAATATTTTAGCGTGTTTCAGTTCCTTGAAATGTTTTAGCCATTCCCTCAGCAAATGTTGATTATGCAATTACTACAGTGTTATAATGCATCTAAATTTAGCTTTTTAAAGACACAAATTCTCTGAATGCACATTTCTCTGAAACTTCCCATAGTTGTGAAACTGCAAAGAGGAAGAATATTATTAGATGAAAGCTGTTAATATCCTTATCAGTCACTGTAATGAGGTAGTTTAACATACTTGGTAAACATCTAATCTGTAGATTTCATTTTTGGAAATTTAGAGTAAACATATAGGATTAATAAAGAGGTACCTCTTGGGGACGGATGACTGACCATCCAGACAAATCTCACATGGTTTCATTCCACAGCAATTGGTTTCTAAGCACCTAAGACCCATATTAACAACACCCACAAGAGACTTGTACAGAAAAACCACAGCACTAACTTACTCTTTACGTAATATACTTATATTTGCTCAATAACACATTCCTTTTCTTGAAACAAATTTATGTGGAAAATGAGATTATAAACAGAAGATTCTTATCAGGCTTGGAGTCAGCACCAGAGAGTTGGCCGAATGATCTTACAGTGGTGTCATCAGATAGACTGGTAACATGGATTGGACTCTCAGGGTGGGCTGGCCCTCTCTCCTTAGCTGTACACTGCCCGCCTTTGCTCCTCTGAGTCCTCCTCTTCTGTAGTTTCTTTGTTGACCACACATCCTCATTAACCACACAGTCCCCACTAATCACACCCCACACTGATATGTCTTTCTCAGATATGTTAAATACATTCAGTCATTTGTAGTTGGCCTTGCCTTGAGAGCCATGATTCCTCTTCAAGTGGTTTCTCTTCAAGGACATCACTTGGAAGGTGCATGCAACTTAAGCTCCTATGCCACTGGCTAGGGCAGAGGTTCCCAAACCCTCTCAATTCTCTGCGCCTTAGTATCTCAGTCTTTCTTTCATGGCCCCCCCAGGCCAAAAGCAATAACTAGCATTTCAAACAACTTAGTATGTATCTATGTCCTAACAACTTAGTAGCTGTTTGAAAAAATAATACATATAAATTAAAATATTATTTTTTCTCTCAATTTTCTTCTTAAATAACTACAACTATCTTAAACCTTGCAATCTAACTAGATATCACCACCTTTATGTCTTGTTCCACATTGATTTTCATACTGTTTTTGCTTTTTATTCCAGCAAGTACCAAACCCCCAGCTTTTTAAAGATGCAACACCATCTACAAGAATATAATGCAATTTGATGTTGAAATTGGGAACTACTGGGGCCGGGCGTGGTGGCTCATGCCTGTAATTCCAGCACTTTGGGAGGCCGAGGCGGGTGGATCACCTAAAGTCGGGAGTTCAACACCAGCCTGGCCAACATGGTGAAAGCCTGCCCCTACTAAAAATACAAAAATTAGCTGGGTGTGGTGGTGCATGCCTGTAATCCCAGCTACTCAGGAGGCTGAGGCAGGAGAATCGCTTGAACCCGGGAGTCAGAGGTTGCAGTGAGCCGAGATTGCATCACTGCACTCAAGCCTGGGCGACAGCACGAGACTCTGTCTCAAAAAAAGAAAAAAGAAATTAGGAGTTACCTCTAGCTAGTAGTAGTACATATGGTGTCCAACAGATGTCAACTATCACTGGGTTTCCCTCAAAAATTTAAAATAGTCACAGCGCTCCTATGAGTTTACTGTGGTTCCCTGGGTACCTGTGACACAGTTTGGGGATTGTGGGGCTAGAACTTAGTCAAATGGCTCCATGTAGCTGCAAGGGGACTGGGAAATAGAATCTATTGAATTTGGTGGTCTCTGCTCTGAATTAAATGTTAATTTTCATATTTTTACTTTCACAGGGATATCTTAAATTGCTATTTATAAATTCTTGAAGGGAAGCTGATTATTGCTTCCTTGTAATAATAATAATTATAATAATGGTCACCATTTTTTGAGCAGTTTTATATAATAAGCACCCTGCTAAGGTGCTTCTCCTTCGTGCTGTCACTTAATTCTCACAATACCTTACCACGTAGGTACAAACATTATTCCTATATAATAAAGTGATGGGACATATATATCTATGTATATACATAGATATATATATAAATATGAAAGAAACACATGAAGTATCTTGGCCAAAATCATATAGCAACAATGTGGCAAAGCAGATTTGAACCAGGCTGTCTGATTTTAGCGTTAACTCTCTTAACCAGCACGCAATATTACTTTTGACATTTACTGACTACAAAAATGAAGAGCAATATTACATATTTGTGTTGGCATTATTTACTATTCTACCTATGCTGAATAATTAAATCAGTATTACCTTTTACACAGTAACTCTCTTCAAAGGATTCAAAAATTGAGTTCTTACAATGCCATGGAGCCAGCATGAATGAGAAGAGAGACTTGCTCAAAATAACTGTGTTAACTTCTCCCAAATTCTAGTCTGAGATAATATAGATAGGAAAAGAGGTGACTGATATTCTTTCACCCAACTTTCCTGCAGAGGCGCGACATGACAGCATTTTGCTAACATCTTGACCACCTGTTTTTGTTACAGGAGGCCGAGGGGAGGATGGCGCCCCCATCATCACGTTCCCAGAGTTTTCGGGGTTCAAACACATCCCAGATGAAGACTTCCTGAATGTCATGACCTACCTGACTAGCATCCCCAGGTGAGCTGAGTACAGTCTCCTGCCGCCTTAGGCACTGGCTTTATTCCACCCTTCCCATGTGGCAGGGCTGGGTTGAGACATAGACTTCCATGAGCACAGTTTACCCTGGTATGCATAATAACCCAGCTGGCTTCTGTCACCCATCAGTCACGAACAAGGAATGTGGACAGGGACTGGAAAACAATGACAAACAATTCTCAGTTTTGACTCTGTTTGCACACCGGAGGGACAGAGTAAACAGTGTCGAGTGGATGGAAAACTGATTGAGCAGCTGTGTTGCCTTTGTTCCTTAGGCTATTACTTTATTTTTATTTTTTATTTTTGAGATGGAGTCTTGCTTTGTTGCCCAGGCTGGAGTGCAGTGGCACGATCTTGGCTCACTACAACCTCCGCCTCCTGGGTTCGAGCAATTTCCAGCTAATCTTTTTTTTTTTTTTTTTTTTTTTTTTTTTTAGCAGAGAGGGGTGTCACCATGTTGGCCAGGCTGGTCTCGAACCCCTGACCTCAAATGATCCCCCTGCCTCGGCCTCCCAAAGTGCTGCGATTACAGGCTTGAGCCACCGTGCCTAGCCGAGGCTATCCTGGCTTCCTGGGTCGTGTTGTCTAGGACACAGGACCCTTGTTTAAGGAACTCCAACTGTGTCAGGAGTTATTTATCGCTCCTAAATAAGAAAATTAGGGGCAGATTGTTGTGATTGTCATTGTCAGATGGAGAAACTAAGGCACAGAGCAAGGAAACTACAAGGCCAGGGAAAAAAAACTGTGCTTGTAGCCAAGCCCATGACAGAAATGCTTTCTGGCATCTTCTCCTTCCACCCTCTCCAGCCTGGGCCTCAACTCTTTATGCCGCTTAAATCAGTACGCACCCAGGTCTTCAAGGGGATGGAGTGTGGGCAGAGTCCACACTGGTCACCACCATTTCACAGACAGGGGCAGAGCGGGGTCCAAATGCTGTCCTTAGGCAGTGCTGTGTCCACCTCTAGCCGAGAAGACCTGGTTGGGAAAGGCCTTCCCTCCATGGGTTTGCATTGCTGATGAGCCCCCACCCCTCCCTTGACTATGGTGTGGTTTAGAATGTACACAGTGACCAGGTGTGTGGTATTTTGCTTGGTTGCCATCTGCCTTTTATGATTTAGAGGTAAACAGCAGCTTTGTGACTGAGAGGCCGCCTGGAGTCTGATACCACTTGTGGAGATTAGGAAGTTGATTGCTTTAACCAAACCCGCTTGAAAAACATGTTTTTTCTTTTACACCTTTTTCTTTAGTTTTTTCTTTTACCCATCTTATTTCTTCAGAGAAAGTTGTGGATTTATTTTGAATGCATTTCTTCAAAGTTAGTACTTAAATATATTTCACTGATTTCCCCCTTTCCTCCTCCCTGCCACGGTCATATGCCATTTATTAATGCAGATATAAGGATGTGGGAAATCCTTTGTTGCTGTGAGGGAAACACACCACACCTGTCTCACGGCTTTGCTCAGGTGTTTCTCTGCGGGACACCTCTGCCTCTCTTTTAGGCCTGACTCTTACTCATTCATCAGCCCTCAACTCTGACCTCATCCCTTTGATGAAACCTTCCCTCACCCCAGTTCTGTTTTCACAGAATCTTTTAAATTTCCACAGAACCCCAGGGTTTACCTTTGCCTATGGAAATTACTTGTCTATGGAAATTATTTCTGCCTCTTCCAGTAGACTGTGAACTTCTTAAGAGTAGGGGCAGATGCTTTGCTTTGCTTCTCTTTCTTTTTCAAAATCTGCAGCCCTAGTCCAGTGCCCAGTGTATGGTTGGTTCTCAGAACTAATGTTGGTAGAGTTTTCAGTTTTGATAATGATTCATTCCAAATGGTATTTGTTGTGGGGTGATGAAGGGGTTAAAATATGCTATTCTGTACTATGCGCCATAAAAAAGAATGAGTTCGTGTCCTTTGCAGGGACATGGATGAAGCTGGAAGCCATCATCCTCAGCAAACAAACACAGGAACAGAAAACCAAACACCGTATGTACTCACTCAGAAGTAGGAGTTGAACAATGAGAACACATGGACACAAGGAGGGGAACATCAGGCAACGGGGCCTGTTGGCGGGTCGGGGGTGAGGGGAGGGAGAATATTAGGACAAATACCTAATGCATGCAGGGCTTAAAACCTAGATGATGGGTTGATAGGTGCTCCAAACCACCACGGCACATGTGTACCTATGTAACAAACCTGCACGTTCTGTACACGTATCCCAGAACTTAAAGTAAAATTTAAAAAATGCCATTCTGGCATATTGACTATTTAAGTTAAAAGCACTTGAAAAACAGCAGGTACAAGAAGATCACTTCGACTTTTGTGCTGTTTCTTAAGAGAAGAAGATGGAATTCCTATGTGAAAGACACTGTCTAGGGACTAGAAGGAAAGGTAACTTAGAGAATATTGCACAGACCTTGTTAGAAACTCTTATTTTTTAAGCTTCCCTACATAATTTGTCACGTTTTCACAGTTTACTATTCTTTATTCAATCCAATATATAAGTAACCGACTCTGACTGATTCTTTGGTCTTCATTTCTTTATGAGGGCTGCTGTGCCATGTAAAACACTTATGAATAAATTTCTATGCTTTTTTCATGTTAATCTATGTTTTGTTGATTTAACTCTTGGACCCAGCCAGGACCCTAAAACAATAGAGGTGAAGTTTTTCCATTCCTATAGTGAGAAGGGGGACCCTGACAGAGAGGGAAACCCCAGCTGTTATCAACTTGGGTTTTAAGAAGTTGAACTTGAACTCTGTCTTTGGCCCAGTGGCATTTCAGGACAACATACCGTCAGTTTAGCAACTTCTTCTTCCGTGGGAGCGGCAGGGAAGAGGGTGAACAGGGAGGTAGACAATAGGAGGAGTGTCCCCTGTCCCCATTCTCCTTATATTTGTTTTAAGTTCAATGTCTAATTTTACTTAATCCCCAGGGATACAGTCAAATGCTAAGTTAAATGGAGGATTTTCATCTCGCATTTGCAGCCTTTTCCAAATCATGCTGAAGACAGCTTAGGGAGTGCCCCTGGACTGTGTGGTGAGAAGCAGGCAGGGTTATCATCCCTATCTCACAGATGGAGATGAGAAGATCAAACAGGGGCTACTGTTTTGGATTTCCTTATTCTGCTGTAGGCTCCTTGTACAATTGCTTGTGACCTAGGGAATATTTTCCTTTCCTAGAATGCTGTTTGTCTTTCAGGAAAGAGTGGCTGTCTGGCCAGTTATTCCCCTTTCTTCTTCCGCTTTTGCTCACACTGCTTGCTGCCCCTCCCCTTGTTCCTTTCCACAAAAAATGGAGACAAAGGGTGATAAGGCCTGAAAGGGCAACTTGACCTGGACCTATGTCTAATTTCCATTTTGGATTTCAAAGAATGTAACCACCCTTGTTCATTTTGTGACTCCTATTTGTCATGATTTGCATCTTTTTATATGTTACATAGTTATCCAGTACCAGAGTCCTTCCCAATTGCAAAATGTTTTATAGACAGGTGGCAGAGGGCTTGTGGATGGAATAAAAAAAGAATTGATATGCTAGAATAGGAAAATGGCAGGATACTTGGGGTTGGGAAGTGTTATCTTTGTGCCTGAAATTAATTAGGATCTCGCGTTGTGAGAGGGTTGGGCAGGTACAGAAAGGCTTCCCACAGTAACTCATTCTTCAGCAGACCTCTGTGAGAGCCCACAGCATGTAGGGTGCTGTGTACCATGCTGTAAAGGACTGAAAAACCTCAAGACAATGTCTTAGACCACAGAAAACTCATCACATGACTCTGTTATCAATATATTTTGTGAAATGTGTAAATAAAGTGCTATAGGAGCTCAGAAGACAGAAAGTCACTTCGACAAGAAAAAAAGGGAAAACTTTAGGAGAAAAGGGCGTTTCAATCCAGACCCCTAAGAGAAGGTTCTTGGATCTTATGTGGGAAAGAAGTCAAGGTGAGTCACAAAATGCAGTGAAACAAGCAAGCTTGTTAGAAACTACTCTGTTACAGAGTAGGGCGCCCTCAGAAAGCAAAAGGAGGAACGCATCGACTTTAAGTTTTTCTTATATTGGGGTCTTGTCTATATAAAGATTAAACTAAGCTGTGCCTATGTGCGGATGAGCAGACAGTGTGACAAAACTTATTATTCTATTGATTTAAAGAAAACTATCCTTGACATTTTAGTGTGTGAGAACATCAAAGCATAACTATAATTTTTTGAAAACATTTGTTGTTATGGTATTGGGACATCTGGACTTTCTGTTGTTGTAGTATCCTTAGGCTGTTTTCTCAACCATAAACATCTTATGATCATGGGTCATGGTTGGCAAGGAATGTGCCTTGTTAGTCTCAAGACAGAGCTGAACTTAAAACTGTGTCACCTTTGCTCTCCTCGGTTCCTGCCTCCCTAACAAAATGTCCTTGAAGGGATGGTACAGTTTCTACAGATAGATATAGAAGGGAGCATTCCAGAGAGAGAATAGGATAGTGTTGAAGAGCTTTGAACACAGCCCAAACCTGGATTGAAATCCAGATCCTATTGCTCACTAGCTAGGTGGTCTGCGGCAAATGACCTGGCTTATATTTCTTTCTTTCTTTTTTTTTTTTTGAGATGGAGTTTCCCTCTTGTTGCCCAGACTAGAGTGCAGTGGCACGATCTCAGCTCACTGCAACCTCCGCCTCCCGGGTTGAAGTGATTCTCCTACCTCATCCTCCCAAGTAGCAGGATTACAGACACATGCCACCACACCCAGCTAATTTTTATATTTTTAGGAGAGACAGAGTTTCACCATGTTGGCCAGGATGGTCTCAATCTCTTGACCTCGTGATCCATCCGCCTCAGCCTCCCAAAGTGCTGGGATTACAGGCGTGAGCCACTGCGCCCGGCCAATCTGGCTCCTATTTCTATCTAATGCAGGGTCTGAAGTTTTCAACAGAGTGTATTTGGGGAATTACAGAGCATCTAGTTTGACCAGAAGAGAGTGAGGCTGCTTTTCAGATGGTAT